TACAAAATCGCTGTCGTTTCAGGAAACAATATACACAAAATAAGAATAAATGTGAACAGAAAACTAGCATTACTGTCTATCAGTAAATATTGATGAATATATGTATATAATCAGCAACGAAAGCACAACGTTTTCAAAAATGAAACCGATCTACCGAGTGGCAGCCATTTTGTTTTACACACAAAAAAACAAACGAGTTGCGAAATAAACGATTTCAATTTTAATATATGTCCTATAACGCAATAAACTGAATTAACCTGGTAAAATCCTATTCAATTTAAGATAATTCGAAAAATTATCATTATATATTCGATAAAGTGTCAACAATTTGGGTCAAAACTACCGACATCGTCATAACACAAATGCAATGACGGATTCTAAAACTGCCCCTGAAGTTCCCAGTCACAAATCATTTGATACCTTGAATAAAAACGACATACACGACCTAATATTCACTCTAGATGTTCCTGAAAACTAAATAAACTCAAATATTAGCGTCAATTACGAATTATATTTGAAGAAACTATTACACTACGTTGATTTCTCCGACTCGATCAACGACCGACCTCAGTGTGAGCGCTTCAGCGTGAACTATGACGTCATCACTTCAGCTGGAAGGCTGAAACACGCATTGTTTCTCGATCTAAGCTCGTTCACACCTTTTGACAATAGTGTTTCATAACCGGGTGTGGAGGGACTGTAGTAATGCATTTGCAGTAGTTTGAGAGTGATCTATTTTTTGGAAAAGTTGGCACTGAGGGCGCTGTCTAATTTATATCTTAAAGGTAGATAGTTGTTGTCAGCATGTGTGTTTTTCATAGCAACCATTATGATGTGATGACCGACTGTGATGACCTCTGTTCTTTAAAATGAAGTGCAGCAAACAGTGAATTTTAATGACCATATTGACCATGTGATTTATATCTATTGTAGGTTACATAACAATGGCCGTATGTTGGATACTTTCCATCGTTTGCATGGTCTCAGTGAGGAGTTCTTTGTTCCATATGATTTGGAATTAAGTGTCCACGAACTGACCTATATTGTGAAGAAAGCTGAGCAATGGCGAGGTGAAGAAGGGGAAAGGCAAAAGACTGCAGTGTATGACTATGTATGGGAAGAGGAATCGGTAAGTTAGGGTGTATGAAAGGGGAATCAGTAAGTTAGGGTGCATAAAGGGGAATCAGTAAGTTAGGGTGTATGACAGAGGAATCAGTAAATTAGGGTGCATGAAAGAGGAATCAGTAAGTTAGGGTGCATAAAATGAGAATCAGTAAGTTAGGGTGCATGAAAGGTGAAGCAGTAAGTTAGGGTGTATGACAGAGGAATCAGTAAATTGGGGTGCATGAAAGAGGAATCAGTAAGTTAGGGTGCATAAAATGAGAATCAGTAAGTTAGGGTCCATGAAAGGTGAAGCAGTAAGTTAGGGTGCATGAAAAGGGAATCAGTAAGTTAGGGTGCATGAAAGAGGAATCAGTAAGTTAGGGTGCATAAAATGAGAATCAGTAAGTTAGGGTGCATGGAAGGTGAAGCAGTAAGTTAGGGTGCATGGAAAGGGAATCAGTAAGTTAGGGTGCATGAAAGAGGAATCAGTAAGTTAGGGTGCATAAAATGAGAATCAGTAAGTTAGGGTGCATGAAAGGTGAAGCAGTAAGTTAGGGTGCATGAAAAGGGAATCAGTAAGTTAGGTTGCATGAAAGGGGAATCAGTAAGTTAGGGTGCATAAAATGAGAATCAGTAAGTTAGGGTGCATGAAAGGTGAAGCAGTAAGTTAGGGTGCATGAAAAGGGAATCAGTAAGTTAGGTTGCATGAAAGGGGAATCAGTAAGTTAGGTTGCATGAAAGGGGAATCAGTAAGTTTAGGTTGCATGAAAGGGGAATCAGTAAGTTGAGGGTAAATGAAAAAGTTGAGTTAATGGTGAATGAAAGGGAAATCGGTAAGTTAAGGTGCATGAAAGGGGAATCAGTAAGTTAGGGTGCATGAAAAGGGAATCAGTATGTTAGGGTGCACAAATGGAAAATTGGTAAATAAAATGTACATGGGGAATCAATGCCATACTTATAATATGATTATAATGCAGGTAGAGGAAGTAGTCTGGGATGCTAATGGTGAACACAGACAAGTAAAACAAGGAAGACGTGAAATTACTTCCCACGTGTCTATACATAAAATACATTTAGATGGACTCCGAGAATTATTCCGTCATTTTCTGAGACTACCAGATGGAGCTATTGTTGAGGTATGTATTTGCACTTGGTTGTTAACACACTGTCCATTATTGCAGGTGTATGTTACTAATTTGATTATGATTGTTTCTTGCGTCATATTGTGTTTCTGGGTCTACAGCAATTTTTAAACTTGCATGAAAAACTCAAATGAACATAGTGATGAAATTGTTGGTGATTTTCAACGGAAACTAAATGATGTTTGATTTCCAAGTGAAGTTGTAGAAGTGTTTATATCTGACCACATGAAGTGACCGTTGGAAAGCAGCCTATAAAGTTGGGAAAAGAGAATGAAAACTTGGTAGATTTGCTTCTATATTAGACCTAAGTTGGTGTCATATTGTACCCCACAGTTATGTTTTGAAAAAAAATAATTTAAGTCTAGTAAACAAAACTTATATGTCTAGATCGTTACACTAGCTGACTGTAAAATGATAACAAACAGTTTACAAAGTCAGGAAAAAAACGAATTCAAAGTTGACAAATTTACATGGAATATGTTGTTATATTGTTGAAACGCATAGTGGAAAGTTTTGTTGGGGATATCTTTACGCAAAGACAAGAAACTGGTGAAGTTTCTATTTATATGTCAGAGAATGTCCAAAAGTCAAAAACTGCCAGAGACAATCATTAACCAGTTTTGCAGATTTGCTCATTTAGTATTTCTAGAAACATATGTTTGTCTTGCAATTTTCTGATCAATTGGGATCTTTTTTGCATATCATTTCATCAGTTGCTTACCCTCATCCTAAAAATCCTTGACTTAACTTTTTTGTCATTTTCTTAATCTCCTTGTTAGGTATTTGGTGAAATGGGCATCACTGGCATGGATAAAGATATGAAGAAAGCCTTAACGAAAGGGGCACAGGGAGTTGAGAACTTGATGGGTTCTCAGTACAGTCTCAGTAAACTACGAAATCGTCGTCGTAAAACAGCTGGTGGTCTTGGTTCAACAGAACTTAGGGCTGCATTAGGTGAAACAAGTGGTCTTGATGAAGATGATGTTGATGAAAAGAAACCTTCAGCTTGAGTCTCTGTAGTTATAGTGAACAGTTTTGATCACAAATAATGCCTAACTTGGTCACAAAAAATGCTTAACTTTGATCACAAATAATGCCTATCTTTGATCACAAATAATGCCTATCTTTGATCACAAATAATGCCTAACTGGGTCACAAAAAATGCCTATCTTTGATCACAAATAATGCCTATCTTTGATCACAAATAATGCCTAACTGGGTCACAAAAAATGCCTATCTTTGATCACAAATAATGCCTATCTTTGATCACAAATAATGCCTATCTTTGATCACAAATAATGCCTATCTTTGATCACAAATAATGCCTAACTGGGTCACAAAAAATGCCTAACTTTGATCACAAATAATGCCTATCTTTGATCACAAATAATGCCTATCTTTGATCACAAATAATGCCTAACTTGGTCACAAATAATGCCTATCTTTGATCACAAATAGTTTCTAAATTTATCACATTTAATGCCCAACTATTGTTATTACAGTATGTGTAATACACCTCCCCTCCCGAATATTTGTTTTTCTGTAGAGATTTATTTTGTATTATATTTATTAGCTGCAAACCTTCAAGTTAGACACGTCATAAATTTGGATTTCAGTTACACCAATATTGAAAGACCAAGACACAAGGATCCCGAGTTAACCAAAACACAATGAACCAAGACACACACCATCCTGGTCATATCAATACTGTAATGTCTGAACAAACTAATATATTAACCAATTTTGCCTAAGACATTCCATTTCAAATAAATATTTACATTCCATTTTTATTATAAATGAATATATTATAAACAAGAAAAATGTGTAGATATTTTATATTTTTTAGTATTTTTTACTATATTGTATATTGAGAACTGCAGGTCAGTTTAAATAATTTTTGTAAAATCTTTATAGTTTTTTGTATCCTGCATATTTAACGAGACACAGAAGTACTGACTTCTATGAATTCTTTGTTATTGTATTACATTTTTAATAGTTTTAGATTAGCAGTTGTTTGGCTGCCATGTGCAAGATAGTGTTGATTCTGTGAGTGAAGGGGTATTGCTATACTTTTAGTCATTACGCGTATTTGTACATTGTATACTGTTATTTTATCGCACCAGATTCAATTTCGTTATTGACTTGTTTCTGCACTCATTCTCATTTAAATTGATTGTTTATTAGAAAAAAATTGAGGGCAAGAAAAGAAGTGAAGGAAAGCACCACGGGAAGCCAACTAAACAGTAGGAAATAAAAATGACTAACCCCTTAGGAGCACAGAGTATACACTTTCTTGTTCTCACTGACGTAGCAATCAGAAAATTGAATTCTTGTCTGTTTAAAATATATACTGCATTGTATTTTAATATTGTTCAATTTAATATAAGATTATTAATAAGGACATACCCCTGTATATAAATAGAATTCTCCCTGTGTGTATTCTTGTATTTATGTTGATAGTTTGGATAAAGAGAAAAAAATTATATAACTAAATTTCTAGCTGTAATGTATCAGTAATATAAAATTAAAATACATTCAGTACAGGTATTTGTTGTTAAAAATATAAGGCAAAAATCAGAAGTGTATGTGTGATATTTACTTTAGACTATTACATCATATGTGCCTTCACTTCCTTTTTTGGCCAGCCAAGCTTTTATAGCCAGCTGCGACCTGTTGCTATAGTGATTCAATATGGCATGAGCTACTTAGTTTCTACTAGATTAGAATAGATTTAGTGGATGTCACATGTATGTGATTGTAAATTTTATGTCAATCATCCAAGAGTCATATGTAATAAAAATATTAATGTTTGTTGAATTTTCAGCATACTCCTCCCTCTTCTCTTTATGCTGTCATTCTTAATGTAATTGAGTGCAATGGTTGTCATAACTACACATTCAATTCGATCGCATATTATACATATCAATAACACTTAATTTGAAATCGTGTTACTATGTTTGTTGATTATAATGTCTCATAGCAGAACAAAATGAATAAAAGTCTGTCACAAAATTAATGAAATACTACGTTGAGAAATGCTTTATCTAATTGGTTGCAATTTCTTTTGCTGTTTTTGATTGTGTTATATATGAAATGCTGTATTTGATTGGTCCTGGTTCCTGGACGTGCCTGGTTGGAATATGTTCCCTCAGGATTTGCCATATTTGATTGGGATATTTTGATTGGTTGGGACACAGTATAATCAGTGTTCCTAACATTTTGATAACTTAGTCACCATATTTTAAAGCGGGATGCTCATCACCTGCGCATGCTGGGGCAATGAGTTCCAAGAGATGATAACAACACAAAGGCTCATGGGTAGACTTTTGTTTGTAAACAATGACATGCTATAGCCATCTAACGCATGCGTAGGCTTTAATATACGATGCAATATATGATGGGAACATGACCTGGGAACATGACATATATGTGAAGAAAAATAACTGACAATTATTAAATAATTTATTTGACACATTAACATACAACCACTATGTGGTTCATATCAAAGTAGACCACAAACTAAATTAATCTTTGTATATACATTTTTACAAGCTCTGAACAAATATATACATTGTATATATTAAAACCAATTAAAAATGTTCACACGATAAGTACAATAAAAACTACTAGACCCTGATATAAAAATGACAGGTGTCCGTAACTTGCCCATTTGTTACTTCCCATGTATTGGTAATTCGTCTTTGGTAGTCATTGGCAACTAGAATCGGTCAATAGTGTTCCTAATCGTATCCTACATTTTTTTTTTAAGAATACCAAAATTTATGAAGTACCGGGTAGTTCAATAAATTAAAAACGATTCATAATGATTGAACATGGGCTAGTTGTTTGCACTGCAACTCGGTAAATACAAAAACAAATGCGTATTTCAGGTACAAAAAGAACAGTAGATGCTGTTTCTCTTCTCTGTTGTGAGTCAAATGTATACAATGTAGCATGTGATGCAATGTGAGGATGAGGTACTTAGCATATTTACCATACGTATACATTACGTAACTTACTATACTAGTATACCAAACCAGTCATGTAACACATGCATGCATTTGTTATCAAGTCAAAGTTAGATCCGCGCCTATAAAAAATAGTTCTTGATGAAAAATATACAAATGTTCACCACAAGGTAACTAATTTTAGCAAGCCGAAAATATCATTGTCAATTAAGGGGAGACTAAAAAATCAAGCGCAATCACTACAAAATCAGTTTTCTCTCCAATAAATTTTTTAAGTCATATATTCAACCTTTATCCATTATTTATAGTCCAATAATCAAATTACAGCCAAGTTGATGGTTTTAGTTTGCACTATTCCCCAAAAATAGATTATTTGTATCTATTTCACCACATGTAATAAGTAAGGTACTATCATAGGTTTGAAAATAACAAACCGCTCAATGATGTTTATGTTGTACTTTGCAGTCACATTATTCGAATGTGATAATTTGGACTTTGCAGTCACATTATTCAAGTGTGATAAGTTGGACTTTGCAGTCACATTATTCGATTATGATAAGTTAGACTTTGCAGTCTTTTTATTTGATTGAATGTGATAACTTGGAGTTTGGCAGTCCTGTTCAGTTATTCAAATCTGATAGTACCGATAAGTTAGACTTTTGCACCCACGTTCACTTATTCAAATGTGATAAGTTGGACTTTGTCAGTTGCACTATTCGAGTTCAATTCAAAATCAGCTCAATTTCAGGTATCTGTATTAAAATAAACCCTGTCAGACAAACTATGCACAAAAACAGTAAATAGATGAGAAAAAGTAATTACATGTACAATTGAGTCACAATGACGCATCATCACTGTGTTCATGCATTATTCATGAGTTATTGTAACAATATTTTATTGTTCGGCAATGATGCACATCAATTTTTAGTATTTATTTCCTAAATAAATCTGATTTTGTCGAATCGTATTAATTCACACTTATCTCCCATATTTCCTGTTAGTGGATATGGAGACGTTTGATTATGAGTGTCATGTGTACATGATTGTCTTAAACCTCCCTGAAAAGAAAAATGGACAGACTGCGTGTGAAAATTATAAATCTGCCAATTCCATGTAAAAAAAATTCTTTCTTGTTGAAAACGTATGTATAAAATAGAACTCTGTTAAAATTATTACATATAATACAAATATTGCTATGATTTCATTTCCATGTACTGTAATGTTTAAAAAAAAAACAGCAGCACACACAAATACTATGTTATGTTATGTAGCCATCAATCCAGTCTCGGAAGTATGTGATTCGTGCGTATACTCCATATTTCCGCGGCCTAGCACATCCGATACCCCAACTCACCGCCCCTGCCAAATACCACTTGGAATCGTCCATATAGCAAACCAATGGTCCACCACTGTCTCCCTGAAAATATAATAACGTGAGAAGAGAGTATTAAAAAGGGTTTTAATAAATAATTTAAACAAGTCTAGTAGTGTAACATACTTACAGTGAATAACACTAGACTCTGTTGGGGGAGGGGCAATTCACCAGATTGATAGCAGGATCGAGTTTATTCCACAATAACTTAACCATAGAACATACAAAAATGGTACATGAGTTAACGTATAAATTGCGTAATACAAAGATGTGACGTGGACTACTTGTTTTGTGGACTACTACATGTTTTGTGGACAACAGGGTTAATATCATCACAATCTATCATTTGTTCACCCTATGTCACCATGCCAACAACATAAGTTATGACATTATTGTTACTGTAGCAACCCAAATCTACCTATTATTTTAAAATTTACTACATAACTCATTTTCTCAAAAAAGGGCTGGTGGACCCATACTTTGTCAAATTAACTGCATTATAGTGCAATTTATTGCAGAATCTTTCACTGCACAATGCCAAAATATGAACAATGACATTTTCTAACCATACTTTTTTGCAAGTATGGATCATTCTACACGTATTGTGGTGTACCACTATTACGTTGCTTGCGCACAATCTCGGGGGGTGGGGGGGCAATACATAGAACTTGTCTAATGGGAACGTGCCCCTGAAATGGGTCTTGTTTTTTGGGTTTTAGTCTTAGATAGGTATAAAAATTGGTAATATTTTTCCAATTTGGTAAAATTATGAAGACAGAGGTGTTTTTATGGTCCAAATACATACTTTAATAAATCAATATACAATGCAACTGTTGGCATACATGTGCTTTTATTGGAGATGCTCTTCTAATAGAGCAAATACGGTAACTGTTTTATTTGGAATAAACAGTGATGACAGAAATGATACTTTGATATAAATATGGGTATAGATTTTGCCACTATCCAGGTATAAAAATGGTCACACTTTTGAGCACTCAGGGGCACCTCCCTATCCAGCTATGTGTCAACTGCACCCCCCCCCCCCCCCCGGCACAATCTACCCTAAGTTCAAAGCCAATATGTCGTTTTGGGTGATTCAGTATAATGTTAAATATTTGCATACCTGACAGGAATCAATTCCACCCTCTGGGTAGCCTGCACATATCATTCTCGTTGTTATAGATAAAAGTACGGCACAATCAGTGATGGATACGAGTGGTACAGATGCCATTTGTAGAACATACGGTGAATCACCTGTAACACGCATGCGTACATGACTCGTTAACGACCATTATGTAAATATGCATAGATATATGTAAATCAGTTTGTGAGCGTGTTCGAGACAAAATCTGCTGCCACCTGTGTTATTTTTCTAATTCAAAATGAAGCAAATGTACTCGGCTGAATGTTATTTTCGTCCTTCATAAAGACATCCAAGAACATGATACATACATGTGTAGACCAATTTATTAATTTTGTTTGGTCTCAACAAAATTTGAATGTCCGGTCGCCATTTTTGTTATAACAATTATAACATTAACAAACATGAAAATTATACATATTGGTTGAATGTACTGGAAAAAATATACTTACCACCTTCCTCGGTATAACCCCATCCAGAAATGGAACAGTCTTTGCCATCTGGGAAATCCATATCTGACGACGGTAAACACGCCAGTCGTATATAGTCATTTAGTTGAACCGCGGAACTGAGCTCAAGCAACGCTATGTCGTAGTCTTGTGTGTCCACGTCGTAACTGCTATGCACGATTATACGGTTGACATCTTTAACGACACGTGTTTCAGTCTGCGCCCATTCAGCGTGCATTGACATACCCATGTGCACCTCAAAGTTGCTAGCAACTCTGCAATGAATACAAAGAGATTAGTTAGCATCAAATTATAGTCCATTTATTAACTAAAAATTATGATACTCAGAATGTATCTATATTGTAACGTGTTCTACCCAGACCCGAGGTGATGATATGACGTAACAGGAGTAAGGTTTATTGTGATTTGGCCATTTGTGGGTTTTCATTCTTCATCAATCAATAAATCAATCAATCAATCAGATTACGACTAGAGCGGTAAAAGCCTGGCGATTGGGCGCCCACAAACCAACAAGCCCCCAGGCTGATAACATTATCATACAAGTTAAAAGCGCGTCACAATTCTGCAGGGAGTTCTTAGAATAACAAAATAAGTTGGGTCTTGGCACGAGAACCATTACTAGCGAGAGTGAAATATGTAAAAGTTTAAAGGGCGGCGGTCGTCGTGCCGCGTCCTGTTCGATATGGGACTCATAGCGACGTATACAACGCGTGTGAAATACATTGTTTATTTACATGAAATTCGAACACGCGATGCGCGATGACCACCGCGCTTTAATATCAGTGAACTTCAATAGTCGTGGTATGCGCCCGTATTGACTTGACCATGCAGGAGAAACGTGAAAGTATTGAGATCTAGATTCAAATAAAACCGATGGCAACAGTCGCAGTGGTCACGTCGGGGAAAGTTTGACAATTTCATTGAGCGCTTTTAGAAAAAAATATGGATGTAGGCAGTATTCTTACGCATCAGTGTGTGGACAGTTAGAACGCTCTCATACATGTAGCGGCCTGTGAGAATACATCATGTTTGTCTCTCGTAAGCTAGAGCGGTCTAATTATTTGTGGGGAGAACATATACCATATCGCCATTGACGCTGCAGTTCGGCATCTTCTACACCGATATGCTGGAACAGCGCTTCCTGTGACGACACAACGCCATATCGCAATCCCAAATTATAGTGCATTGTGGGATTGTTCAATTCGGGTTGCACGAGAGGGCGCGCTTTCGGATTTGCGAGGTTGTGTTCGATCACAATTCGATTGGGACACAACAATCCCACAAGGCACTATAATTTTGAATTGTGATATGGTGTAAGTGTAAAGTGTAAGTATTATACACGCGTTGTATACGTCAAACGGAACGAGTTTCGAAGACGATGATTATGACTATGACGCCTTCACTAGTACATCAAGCTAGCTGTCATCAAAAAGCACTTGACCTGGTATGCATGGTGGGACATATGACTCTTCCGCAAAATAAAAAGACAACCCCATTCCACTGATTTTCAAACACAAACATCTTTTTTTGATAAAATGTGGACTTTGGTAAAAATAAAAAAACAACTTAATTTATAACAACAGCAAGAAGATACGACGCCTGCTTGTTCTAGATCTGTTCAAACGTCTCTTTTGATGTTTTTGGTTCAGGTAATCATCCCCCATTGCCAAAATAATTTCGATTTGTCTTGTCCTCCTGCTTGATCTATGGTTATCATTCAGTTTTTTGAAAAGTACTTTCGTTTTCGGTTTTCGCCGACATGTCACAGTGAAGTTCGAAAAGTTAAATCTTTCTCCGCGAAATTTAAAATCAACCAGCGAAGTGCCCCGGGGATATAAGGGAACCCAGCTTTGCTGAATTTATTGGAAATTAAAAGGAAGATTGGAATCGAAATGCGCTCATTTAAACTCAGTGATCTGTAACTGATTGAGTTTTAGTTTGTACTAGTGGAATTCACAATAAAGTGACAATTTAAAAGAAACTTTTGTCCCACGCAGCACAGTATGAGAGAATAATAGCGACTTGTCATTATAATGTCCCTTCAGGGGGGTCACGAAATGTCAACTGCGGTTGCGTATTTGTCAGCAATGAAGATAGATGACGAAGACAAGATCTCCATGGGTCAATAACTGCCGTAAATGTAATTTACAACTCATATCTAACATGTGGTTTACTAGCAATGTCATTGTCCTGTCGCCACACTATCGGCGCAACAAAGATATTCCCATCATCTTTATTATTATTTATAAATTTCGTAATTCAAACTGAAATGAGAACTTGTATTGGTCGATTGTATAACATTGACACGTTTTCAAATGACGCCGTTAAGCGCTGGGCTCGTTGATTTGACGATTTGTCGCTTTAAGAACTAGAAAGTATTGCTACTAATAATTTGTATATACTAAATGACTTACTCATCGACAACACAATGTGCAGCAGTTACAACCCACTGCGGGCGAACTAATGTGCCTCCACAGAAATGGGATCCTTGCGTTTGTAATGAGACTTGCCACGGCCATTCGCCGAGCTCTGCGTTGATACCGCCAACGATTCGCGACAGTGGCACTGTTACGGTTCCACATTCTGAAAAAAAGAAAATCTTTGTTTTATCAAAGTAAGTCCATATTCTGCGTGGAGCGATTAGTCAAACCGCGGTTAACTGAGTTTTTGCAGTTATACACTGTTCCACGGGCAAGAGAAACAAATTAAGTCTATTTATTAAAAAAGTTTTCAGTTGGTGAAATAGGGTTCTATGTTAATGCAGAAGCAAAATGTCCCTCATTCTACTCGAAGAAAACGACAACAAGATTTATGGCTTTCTCCTAGAAGAAATTGACGCCTTGTCTTTCTCAGTTCACGTACTATGCTAGATTAACTGACGACTGTGTTGCAAACGCATCAGAAATTCCAGACAAAGAATTGAGTTAAATTCCCCGTCTAACTGCGCTAAATTCTCCACCAGAATATAGGATATTGTTTTTTTAACACAATATTCTATGACTAGGACGTAATGACTTACCACATACAGTCTCGTCGCTGTCGTCAGAACAGTCGTTATTTCCATCACATTGCATTGAAAGGCTCACACAACTACCGTCATCACAGGTGAATTGATTGCTGTTGCATGCTGAAAAATAGAATAGAATAGAATAGAATAGAATAGAATAGAATAGAATAGAATAGAATAGAATAGAATAGAATAGAATAGAATAGAATAGAATAGAATAGAATAGAATGTATTGCTATAAAGTGCATTACAATACAAAATCATTTCACTACACTACGCTACTTCACGTCACGCCACGCTACACTATGCTACGCCAAGCCACGCTATTCTACACTACACTACACTACACTACACTACACTACACTACACTACACTACACTACACTACACTACACTACAATACACTACGCTACGCTACACTACGCTACGCTACGCCACGCTACGTTACGCTACACTACAATACACTACACTTATGATGCAACAAATAAAGCATTCTGGACTTACTACAGTCGTTTTCATCGGAGCTGTCGCCACAATCATCGTTGCCATCACATTGCTCACTGATTGCTATGCAAGTACCATCGGCACATCGGAATTGAACATCTGTACACACTGTGAGATCAACGTTAGGGTAATATTAGCACCAGGATGTAATAGAATCAATGTGTTCAACTGTTACTGTGTTATGAATATCTCATTCTAATATATGTTACATTTTGAAGTATTATGTAACGAATATATACTTAGCGAATAATAGAACAAATATAGCATAAAGTCGAACTGGCACCATGCCTGGTGTCATATGTCTTAACATTACACCATAAACACGCCGAGGCGAAGGCGAGTTTTTTGCTAAAGTTCCGAAAACTAGTCATATGTGTAGTCTTCTCGTGACATATATTTACATACTTAGCTCTCTTATTATAATTGAACATAATATTTTTGATATTGATTATATGACTATATAATTCGGTAGATGTCGAGGAAAAATATTAATTTCCCCTTGTGCTGTCTCCGTTATAACGCGCTACTACTCAATATGCGTATATTTCATCGACTGTTACAATATATTGACTCGAGTATACCGCAAAGACGTTGTACATTTTTCAAGATGTTTCCTTTCTTTATTGTTATGTACATTAACGATCGTATTTGGATCATGGCATTAAAACGCAACATATAAACTAAACAATCAACTTACGATCGCATGTTGCCACACTTTCATCAGAACCGTCCCCGCAGTCGTCGAAGCCATCACATACCCACGTTGGTGTCAGGCACCAACCAGTACCACACACAAACTTTCCGGGTTCACATGTGGTAGATGCTGTTAAAAAACAACAACATATTTTAACCATGGGGAATGAATGTTACCTTAAACTTGAGACTGGTAATATGTCAATCAATCAATGGCATTGGCAATGGTAGGTCAATGATGTACTCTCTAAAGAGAAAACAAATCTGATCGATTACAGTTCGCAACTTTGTTTTGCAAGAATAAATAAAGAAACACACTCTTGGACAGAGCGTGGGAGAGTATTCATTGTGACAATACTACCGAAAATATTGGCTCCAGGTGCCCAGACATTTTGAGTAAAACTGTGACCAATTCGTAAATAAAGGTTTGAACCAAATTTTAAAATATATAGATGACTGAACCATTGTGTGAGAACCAATTATATATACACTGGTAATAGAATAAATTATTGGTCCATCACGTAAGACACAGACTATACACACCAGTAAAAGAATGGGTGATACCAACATTTCGTGTAAAAGTATCTAGTTTTCAGTACATGCCTTCACGTTACTAAATATAAAACTGAAGTGATCGTAGAGCGCGACACAACGCGTGAATTCGGTGATTTATTGCCTGGACACCCAGGGGGGGGGGAGAAGAGGGTTCTGTAAATAAAATATGGTACGCAAACTGAGATAAAAAAAACGCTTAAAAGGGGTGTCAATTACTAGTAGTTATTTCACACGTATACGCGTGTACCGTGTTTATGGTCGAATATTTTAAAATATATAAATAAGTATGAAAAAAGGAATCTCATGAAATCATCTTCCTCAAGTTCGAAACAGTATGATTTTAGTATGTATATAAGGTATTTAAGTTTCTGCACTTGAAAAGGGGTATAATTTCACACAAATAATTACATGTTTAAAGGCTTTTTTGAAAAGCTATTCTTCAGCATGGGTACCAGGTCTAACTTGGAGTACCCCCTCCCCCCTTGATGGGCTGGACAACCCCCAGTGAAATTATTTAAAAATACGTCTATCGCTATTTTTTAAATGAGTTTGTGTTTATTGATTTGTTTTTCGGAATCGAATGTACCCATGAATAATCAAATGACGCAATACTTCATAAGTATTATATAAGTTGAAATATACGCTATTGACTGTTGTCACTTGTAATAATTGTTTAAGATGGCGGCGTTCTCAAAATTTCTCGGGTGGATTTTGTTAACCGGTGGTATCTGTGATTGTCTGGAGAGTGAAGTGCATGTGTAATTTGAGAAGCAAGTAATAGAAAATATCAAAACCAGAATATGGGCATTTATGCTTTCACGCAAGAAGGACCCCTTCCCTCCAAATAAGTGAATAAACTGCTGCCATCGGACACAAACACCCCTATTCAGTTATATAATTTGACACTTACGACATGACTGTTCATCACTCCCGTCCCCGCAGTCCGGGTAGGCATCACAGACCCACTCATCGGGGATACACAACCCGTCATCAGAACACGGCGTAAATCCGTCAGCGCAAGGAACTAAAGTAATAAATAGAGTAATATACCACATGTGAAGATACTTGAAACAAACATTATCAATTTACAGTCCATCGTTCGTTGTAGTACATTTTTGTTTGACTTGTAGTAGAAACTATTAACCATGAGCCTTTGCGTTTTTGCGTGCGTTGTTATCGTCACTTGGGACTCAGTTCCCGCGCATGCGCAGGCGACGATCCCTTCGCTTTAAAATGAGCTTGAAGAACGACAAAATGGAATACTAACGACTGTTCATCTCTACCACACCAGATAGTATTCGTCTGATAAAACAATGGCGCAGCATTTTGAATTAATATTACGTACCTGAATTCAACACGTCACTAAACGATTATTTTTGTACGCGCCAAACTACCATTTTAGGTGTACCATCAACCAGTGTTTAAACACACAACAAATTCATACAATTGTTTTTAAAACTCACCGCAAATTGCCTCGTCGCTTAAATCTAAGCAATCAGTGACGCCGTCACATCGCCAACTATTATATATACAGGCCGAGTCATCGCTGCACGCCCAGTAAAGGTACGACATTTGGGAACAACTAGGGCTTTGGTAACCTGCGAATGAAACCATGTTATAGACCTTATTCGTTGTGCCAAACTAATGTTACGTAAATAACATGCGACAATTCGAATTATTCAAATAATTTATATATAGTATTCCATTGATTTGTACTGAAAATATGTTTATAGACCTTGTTCGTCGTGCCAAACTTATGTTACGTATATAACATACTGACAATTCGAATTATTCAAATAATATATTTATAGTATTTCATTGATTTGAACTGAAAATATGTTTATGGACCTCGTTCGTCGTGCCAAACTTATGTTACGTAAATAACATGCGACAATTCGAATTATTCAAATAATTTATATATAGTATTCCATTGATTTGAACTGAAAATATGTTTATAGACCTCGTTCGTCGTGCCAAACTTATGTTACGTAAATAACATGCGACAATTCGAATTATTCAAATAATTTATATATAGTATTCCATTGATTTGAACTGAGGATATCTACTCAAAGCATAAGGGCATATAGTTCCCATAAGGAAACGAAAAAGAGTTTTTATTTAAAAAGTGTCCATTTTGTATGATCCACAGACAAACCTCTCACTGACTTCTGTAAGCATCACAAGGGGTTTGATTTGTTTTCTATGATTCATGAAAAATATTATCTAACAGAATACCGTAATCGAATTCAGGATAAAGAGGCCTTGAGAGAATACAGCAATGAACATTACGTTTGATTTGGACCTTCAGTGTAGGCTAGCTTCTGTGCTCAAATAGTTCACGGTTGAATTGCCACCGAGAGGTCAACTAAAACAATGTTACACAGCTGTATATTTGTTCCACGAGTAATTTAGTGACGTACACTGACGTAATTATTACTTTAACTTAAGATAGAAGCCTAGTCATAATTTTTGACAAAATTGGTCATAAATCACATAACAATGTTCATTAGTATATTTTGTACAATTATGAAGCTATTGTCTCATGGTACAATGAAATAGCATTATTTTGTGTATTACAGTTATGCTTTTTGAGAAACGTGTTCTAATATTTCTTGAAAATTGCTATTTTTAGAACAATTCCATAGAACAAAATGTAAAAGAAAATTGTATTTTTTGACACTTTTTAAAACCCAGATTTTTTAAATAATTCGGAACAACAAGTACTCCATCATTAACAATAAATAATTTTTTCAGCCTATGTCACCAGGCTTGATTTTGAGATATTGCATAATATCTCTGCCATAGGAACCAGTGGTAAAAGTGTTATAATAGTGTCAAAATGGCGACTCTCCACTAAAATATAACCATCAATTTCTCAGAAAAAAAGGCTGGTGACCCCCAGCTTTTTTTCGGTCAGTATTCTTATATTGCCTTGGAGTACAATTTATTGCAAAATGAATAAATTTTGGGTTTTTCAATTTATGAGTAGGCTTCTACCTTAGGAAGGAGAAGATAAACGATGTTGTGCGTGTCCTCACCGGTAAATGTACATTTCTCTCAGAGAAGCTTATTTTCTTTTCTTCCAATATTACCTCATTTGAATATTTATTTTTGGCAGGGCAGCGTCAGAAGGAATACAGGCTCTGATCCTAAAGGTTGCATCTCAGATCATGAAACAACTAATATTATTATTAGTTGTCTGAGGTTATATTAATAACTTACTGTCGCAGTAGATTTCATCGCTTGAGTCAGTACAGTCAGCAGTTCCATCACATACCCATACAGGGTTGATACATTCATTATATCCTTTACATTCTATATAACGGTAGTCGGCACAGTCTGTAAGGTAACACGTAATATGACGTCACACTCTGTTTAATCATACTTTGGAATCATACATCCTTAGGACCTACCGCTTTCTCGATTCTGTTAGTTTAAAAGGCCGATTCGCTGGGATAGGAAGTATCTAGGACCCCCTTCTAAGGGGTATGTTATTTTGACTCTTACACCGGGACCGGATGCCACTTCATCGGCTCAGTATACTTGCAGGAATCGTTGTACCAAGCGGATGTTCTTGTGGATATTTTTATCTTCCTAATTTTATCTTACATTACAAATTCGGAAAATAAAACTAAATAAAAATCGTTTTCTTGAGAACTACTTACCACAATTGTCCTCGTCTGTATAGTCGATACAGTCATATGTGTCGTCACATCTATAATCTCCGTTAATGCACTCGCCGTTGTCGCATCTAAACTCGTCTGAACCACAGTTGCCATCAAACTCTGGAGTGATGAGCACAAGGGGGGGGGGGGATAAATACAGGTGGCGGTGCAATATACGTTAAAGTTATGCACTACGAATTAGTAAGATGTGGTCATTATGTATTCATTTCAGGTGAGTTTGCAATGTATATGACGATTTTGTTTTACTGACGTGAATTTGTAGATGTGTAGAACACAATCGTGGACAGTTTATGCAAGTGATTATGTGTATATGGCTTAATGCGATGCTGATGGCATGAATATTACAAAATGACATGAGTGTATATTTCATAACGCCTATCATGGGCTTTTAAATTCATATACGTACTACGATTTCAAATTGCTATGCATTTTTATCGTCCTACTATTACGTCATTTCCGTTATAATTACCTTCTGGAGCTGTTCCTCCCACACACACTGTTGAACGGTAATCATTTGGCAAATCTTCGCAATCAATATCCCACACTATGCCATCAATTGTAGCGCTGCACACTGCTAATACTTCTTCACACAAAGACTGACAAGGTAGAAGATATTCACCCTCATTTATACACTCAGGTGCATATAGGTTACAGACAAAAAATAATGACTTTTCATGACACGTCTTGAGGTATTCAAGCGATGATATTCGAGACTCCGCGATTGATTGACTGTTCGCGTACTCGTTAGGAAACACGGTGGTGTTGAAATCAACATGGCTATAGCAAAGAGACACGGTTAAAGGCTCACATGCCGCTCTATTGACCAACACTGAAATAAAAGAAGGAAATATTGTAACTAAAACAAAATGTGATTTTAAGTTCTTGAACAATTTTGCTGTTGATTGATGTTGCTAAACAAACTCGCAGCATTAACGGTGTATGCTGTAGAATCCGGAAACTTTCGTGGACTGACTAATTGCTGGATTGGCCGCGCTTTAAATATGAGTAGTTCGTGTCTCCTCTAACATTATCTAATAGTCGGACTTATAGTAAGATTATTTTCCTGTTATCTAGGAAGTACTCGACCATGTCCCACTGTCACGGGAATCTCATCTCTAGATGATTACATACTGTAAAGGGGGTAATTATTCACTGGGTTTTAATTTAGCTTATTTCGCTGACTGGAAAAATGCGCTTAAATAAAACACAGTGAATATGTAAAATTTAGCATAGAACACATTATCTAAATGACGAAACCGTGAATTTAAAACCCACTGAATATGCCTGAAATGGTAAATCAGTGAAATTTAAACCCAGGGAAAATTAGTCATTTTACAGTATTATCATTATTATGTATGATGGTATGATCGTGCCAAAATAAGAACTCGGTGCCCCAGAATCGTATTAGCATGTTGATTGATATCAAACTTCATTGCAAAATAGACATTAGGGTTGACCATATCCTGTTACAGGGCATACATCTATAAAGCACACGCTATCATGATATAACCTGCGTGTTGCACGAGAGTCGTGTATGATAGATACGTGTTATAGCGACCTTATTCCCTATATCATATATCATTTAAGGACTCAGGTGCATCTAGCTTACGTAATGACCATTCGTGACACGTCATGAGATACTGTAAAACATGTTGAAAAAGCGACATGCAAGTTTAGCGAATTGTGGTAAAATGACGTAATAGCGAAATGTTGATTTAATGAATCGCTCTTGTCATTGTTGATTTCCCGTTTTCACAATACTTATTTGTCGCATGCCAAAAACAAATGCGCAGTTATAAAAACAAAGAAAAACTGTCAAGTGTAATTTGATTCTGTTCGCAATGATAAAAAACTGATTCAACTGGGATTTGAAAAAGCGGGTATCGCTGCTGCGTTACATCCAGAACATTGACCTTTTATATTGGGACTCAACAATTACTAAGTATCACCACAGTCTCTCTATCAGGGATAGCGATGTGATAGAGGGACTGTGGTACCACTAATTTCCGTAATAATATATCAGTATCACTTCATTTATTTATTTTCATTGAAATAATGACCACAATGAATACGTTTATTTTTTTGTGCTAATTTACAAAGTGTGTGTGGAGAAAAAAGACGTTGTTTGGCGACCATTTTGAATTAATAATAAAGTCATTAGCTTGAATCAGTTCTCTCGCTAAATTCGCTAAAAAAACATTTTTTACAGTACTCATATGATGAAATCTGAGACTGATTGATTGACTCTCCGCGTACACATTAAGAAACACGATGGTGTTGTAATTAACATGGCTACCGCGGCGCAAAAGGGTTAAAGGCTTATATGTCGCACTACTGGCCGTCACTGAAATAAGACGGACAAATACACACTATCGACACAACAACCCCTTCATTTTATAAATATTTGTAAATTGCAATGACAATGCATGCAACCAGACAACCGGCGAGCGCACAGTGAAACAAATGACGTCATTTGAAAACGTTCCAATGTTGTTCGAATGGTTTGTTGTAGTAAAGCACGTTTTCCTAGCCTGTTGATCATTTTCGTTTTTTTTTTGGGTATGGGTTTGCTCGGTAATTTCCCATGTGAAACGTTAAAAGAACTCTTCTTCTGTTATTGTGTGTCCTCATTGTATGATTGCGGTACAAAGGCCATGATGGCTTACGGCGAAAGTACGACGCACAGTGCAAGCAACGCTACACGCGACTGTGGAACTTTATTTTTCATTTAATGGTAGACATAGCAAACTAATAAAATTGCTAGAGGATTGAAAGCACTACAACATTCTTTATACCAAATAAACTGGTTGGGTTATTCTGTGATTTTTCTTTGGGCTTTCAAAGTCACAGGGTATAATAAACTTTGGAAAATTTCAGGAATTTCAGCTGCGTTCACCCCTAGCACAATTACTACTGATTTGTGGTATATTTTGATCGGCATTTCGTATTTTTTTTGGCATTTAATACTTGATAACGCCTTGTATTTTAACAAGACCAAATAGAGTGCAACAGAGCTGACCACACCTTACTAATAATACCTCAAAGGTCGTCACGGTTCGTTGTTTAGTGTGTATACAATATAATAATTACCTACAGTGTACCTGTACTGGTATAAACTTTTACTAGCTACCCACGTGATCATATGCTCAATGCGAGAGTGAATGTTCCCTGTACCTCGTGACACATTTCTATATGATTACTTATACTTCCAAGTTTATTTACTGGCCATTGTATATATCAATCTTTATATTATTAGCAAGATTTTTACCCAGTTTGCATTTATTTATTTATTACCATCGTATACAGAAAGTATATAGTTGATAAATGAATCATCACACACACATATGTATCGTACTCATTAAACTGTCGTCCAGCAACAAAAAAACAAACATTACAATACACTTGTATTGTCCTTTCCATGGTCTGATAAACGCCACCAGTCATCATGGTGTCCACAGCGAGAAAAAGTATTTAGTATTGTGCGGCGGCTGTATTGTGTACATATTATTTACACTTCATCAGTGTGAATTCGTTAGGGGGAAGTATTCTTATTTCGTTGAAATGTATTATGCAATGGTTCTGACATTTTCAGTTTATGGCCTGCATTTATTGGCATCAGCTGACACGTTGGCGCAGACCAATCAATTCGAGTAAGGTTTCATGGGCTTTCATTTCAGTTTATTTCATAATAAATTGTTGTGAAATTAACATATGGGGTTACCTGCCAGTAGGTTAATAATATTGTAATATATATGACAGATAGGAAGCTATTATATTGTGTATACCATACTTACCAAGAACGACGACCACTACTACAATAACGATCACTAAAACAATACACGAGCACAGTAATAACGTTATTTGCCAGGTTTCCATGTTTATAATATAAATGATAGCACCATGGGATGTGATAGTCACTATCGGAGATACAAAAAACAAACAGTAAGGTGTAATCCAATTAAAAGATGGTGCAAATGCAATGTACAAAGACATATTTACGACTTGGCCCGTCTATAATATACGAGACAGCAACAGTTTGAGTTTTGAGAAAATATCAGACGTATTTAACAACACACTTATTTAAGCCTCATTCTGACTATATTATGAACCTTGAAAAAGGGGACCATAACGTCTCTAATCAACGTACAAGTAGCACCTCCGACGAGAGATCCAATAAACGTGCATGTTTCACTGTACAAGTTTGAAACCCGTTCCTTTTTCGGATATTTTACAACTATGAACATCATATTACTGATTGTATCCTAAAAATGTAATCATTACTCGAACGTTTGTCGATATAACCTTGAAGCCTTGGTTGATTTGAGGACGGGGAGGAGAAAGTATAAGCCTCATGGGAATAAACACTTGTTCATAAATAAAGTTTATATGGGCTGTTAATTTTGTCATATAAATTATATTACGTTAGAAGAACTCCAATGAATGCAAACACAGGGAGATTTGTCGTGAACATTTTGTGGTCAGCAAATATTCTGGGGGAAATGTTAATTACAGCCATGACGTTCATGCTGATGGATTTGTCATTGACCCCTACGCATGGTGAACACATTTTTCATCATGATTAAGGCAAAGTTTCTTTATCCGCTGAATTGTTTGGAAGCCAAATTTTGCTCACTGTTTATCCCCGCCGCCCCCGGTGCGGTTTTTAGTTCTACAGACTTAAGATTTCTTCCATATTAAACAATTTGGATTTCGTAATCCTCTTTTATTAGTTTGATGACGTTATACCAGGTGAAACCAACTACATGTATAAATATGTAATCCGTCACGTGTAAACGTAACGATACAAGACTTTGAGCACATGTATTCATCGAACCAACTACACTATTCGCTGGTCTTCAAGAACGAAGAACTGTGATTTCATAATCTATGCGCGCCCTGTGATATTAAACATCCTATCTGCGTCGTGTACGGTTTTGCCAAGTGGTCATCGCCGGCAGTAGGACGCCCGCCGCAATACCAGAAGGCGGAACTTAACTGTATTTTCTAACCTCAGATCATAATGTCTATTTCAACCTACCTGTTAAGACTAGCGAAACTCCGTCTTCTGATGTCTACATTACTGTCATTGACATTGGTGAAACCATATTGGCAAAAAAATAGTGAAATATACGCGTGGTCCGCGCACGTACCGTATACCTTGGCACAAACGTTGTGCCGGTAAACAGCCTCGTCGATCTTCTACCTAAGGAACATGTATACTCAATAAATATGGCTGCCACTTTCATATGTAAATGGAATTGCCGTGGTCCATTGAGTTGCCGAATCGAGTGTCGACGTCAACATTATAATACGAGCTCCGTCGCCATGACTCCAATCTCGTTGTCTTATACCGCCCTCTTTGTTGAATTGCCGGGGAAAAAAATAAACGAACGTGAAACAGCAGTCAAACGTTGTGTGCACCCGAGTAAGTTGGTCAGTAAGGACGCAGTATGTCACGCCATGGATGTACTAAGTCTAATCTTAGTACATCCATGGTCACGCCGACAAAATGCCATGACCATATGTAACGACAGGCTACTTCTGAAACAATTTATCCAATATTTTGTTTGTTTGTTCCTCATTCTAATTTCATCAACAGCGCACTATTTGTTGTTTAAAGCGGGAGAGTCAGATGTCCATAGCAGACAGCCAGCAGAAGCTAGAAACGTGTTCAAAAATTTTTTTTTCGGCATTTTTTTTACAAGCAGGCATCTATGCTAAATCACGTTCTTTTATAGTAAGGTTTCACGTCAGGGGCGATGCCAATCTTAAAAATTTTTGGCCCAAAAAACACCTTTTTTTGATCAAAATTCAAAATGGTTTAGTTCA